GGCTGCGGTGGCCGGGAGTGGCCACTGCACTCCAGTCTGGGTGGCAGAGTGAGACTCCAACGCAAACAAACAAACAAACAAACAAACAAACAAAACTCACAAGGATCTGAGATTTCGGGAAAATGGCTTTAGTTCCCTGTATATGTGTAAATCTAGCAAATGATGAGGATGAGAATGAAGCAGGGGCCACCAGGAACCTAGTGGCCCAATCAGCCCTGCCACGGAGCCTCTTCCCTCTGCATGGAGGGCCCCTTCCTGCCTTCCTGGCTGCCTCCTCCTGTCAGTCACTGATGTCATAGTGAAGGCAGGCACTGGTGTCCCATGGATTCCCAGGTCGGGTCTTATAGCACCTAGAGCTTCATGTCTGTCCCAAGGGAAATAAACTGTGATTGGTCAGAGGCATGACCATGCCCCTGATAAGTCCATCTGCTAATTGTACAGCTTAGGAGTTGAGAACATGCAATACGGACTTGATGCAACCTGGGGTTGCCTGGCTGTAACCCGAGGGTAATAAAAGCGCCCCCTGAGCCAGGCCCAGTGGCTCATGCCTGTGATTCCAGTACTTTGAAAGGCCAAGGCAAGAAGATCACTTGAGACCAGGAGATTGAGACCAGCCTGGGCAACATAGCAAGACCCCGTCTCTATTAAATAATAATAAAGTTAAAAAAATAATAGCATCCCTTCATTGGGAGATTAAACGAGACAAGGCATTCACCCGGCTTAGGCAATACATAGTTGTTAAGCGGACAGTGCCGGTCAGGACACAAGACGATGCATATCTACCCAGCAAAGTGATAGCAAACCTCAAATATAAACCACCAGGCACTGTATACGTGCACACGGCCATGCACATCCACTTTTTTAAATAAATGCTCTTTGCCGGCCTCTCCAAGTCTGTGGTTCTGGGCTCGTGGGTGGAAAAGTGCTTGGCTGTCTGATTTCCAGCCTCTGAGACTGCCCAGGAATCCTCTCAAAGACCCTCTGTGGTCACTTCTCTGCAGGTGATATTTCTTCAGACAGCTGTCAGTAGGTTGGGACTGCGGGCCAGACCCTGGGCTGGCTGAGTGCCCTCTTGGGAAAGCTTTCAAGGTGGAATGACACATTTCTGGTCATCTGCTTTGCTGCCTGACAAGACAAGCTGCAAAGCGAGATGGGTGGGGATGGCGGAGAGGAAGAGAGGGTGAGGTGAAGCTTCTGTAGGTAGAATGCACCTCTGCAATGGAAGGGAGGCACTGGGGACATGGCTCCCCTGGTCTCTCCCAGGTAGCTGTTTGCAAGAAGGTGGGACGCCAAATCTCCCTGGTTCTTCCTCAGGCGGGCCTGAGTATGTGGAAGTCTTGGGAAGTACCCACAGAACAGTCACCCGGCAGAGGGCCAGGATGTCTCTAGTGTTTGACATTGTACCGTTATAGATTCATTTCTCTGCATTGAGAATGGCCCACTCTGCAAGATTCTCTTGAGGAGGCAGAGATCTTTGGGAGCGGTAAATCATAAATGTAGGTGAGTGACCAGCCTGTTATGAGATTGCGTTCAGTCATATAGCGCAGCGCAGACTGGGGCAGGTTAAGAGCACTGGGGGAAACCAGGGGGAGGGGAGAATAACTCCATAGGAGACAGAGCTGAGGACTGCCTGAGAGTCTGTGGAACAAATTTCTGGCCTGAGGACTGAGTCTGGCCTGCACATGTGTGTTGATTTGCAAGCACCAGGTGTTAACTAAATTGAATGCCAATGTCTTGGGTGTTTCTGGTTCTCCTACAACCACCCCCTCCCACTACCACATGCCCTGTTTCTCACGTCTGCATTCCTTACATACTTGGGGGTTTTTTGGTTTTTTTTTTTAGAGACAGGGTCTTGCTCTGTTGCCCAGGCTGGACAGCAGTGGTGCGACTATGGCTCACTACAGCCTCAGACTCCTGGGTTCAAGCAATTCCTGCAGCCTCAGCTTACCAAGTAGCTGGGACTACAGCATGTGACACTGCACTCAGCTAATTTTTTTTTTTTTTTTGGAGTTGAAGTCTTACTCCGTCGCCCAGGCTGGAGTGCAGTGGCATGCTCACGGCCACCCAGCATCGCCCTGCTGGGCTCTGGTGATCCTTCCACCTCAGCCTTCCAAGTAGCCGGAATGATAAGTGCGCACTACCATGTCCAGTAATTTTTGATATTTTACTGTAGAGATGAGGTCTCGTCAAGTTGCCTGGGCTGATCTCAAACCCATGGGCTCAGGCAATCCACACACCTCAGCCTCCCAAAGTGCTGGGGTTACAGGCTGAGCCACCGAGCCCGGCCTCCGCTAATGTTTTCATTGTTTATAGAGACAGGGTCTCGTCACGTTTCCCAGGCTGGTCTCGGACTTCTGGCCCCAAGCGAGCCTCCCACCTTAGCCTCCCAAATGCTGGGATTACAGGCATGAACCCGGCCACATACTTGGGTTATCTGAATGGCTGTGATGGGCTCTAGATGCAGGACCTTGCACTTCAGCCAGCCTGGCCTCAGTGCCCCTCTGCTGGCTCCAACAGGAAGAAGGTTTTGGAGGCGGTCTCCCCTCCTCCCCCAGCAGGGCTAGGACTCCTTCCCTCCCACCTCACCTGGAACAGGTAGTCTCCAGGGGGCACATCGGTGATGTCAACCCACTGGCAGTCAATGTCATGGCGGTACACGTCCCAGCAGCCCATGGTAATGCCCTGCTCACCGAAGTTGGCACACTCGTAACTCTTCTGGATGTCTGCAGGGAGAGGTGGAGGAGAGTCGGTCACCAGGCACCCATGGCCACCCTGCTCCATCTCTCCCTGCCTCTAAGGTCCCCACCTCTGCTTCATCTGGGAGCTCAGTAGCTCTTTCCCACTGTGTAGATTTCTGATCTGTTCTCATTTCAGCAAATTCCCCGCAACTCAATTCTCCACCCTCATCCCATCCTTCCTTTGGGTTGGGCTCAAGGCCTCCTCCTCCATAAAGCCCTCCTTAATCACTCTGGCTCACCCCTGTGTTTCTCTGAAATCCTCACTCTGGGGATGAATTGCGTGTTTATTGGAGGAACTCTCTGGGGTTCACTGTTTAGCTTAGTGTGGGGTTGTCTCGTCTGTCTCCTCTGGAGAATCAGCAGTTAGAGTGCAGGCTCTTGTCTGATTTCCTCTCTGACCCTTACATGACTGCCCATGGCAGACGTTCAAAATCTGTCTGCTGTGTGCGTTCAGGCACGTCAGTGGCAGGCCGCTTCGATGAATGAAGCATCAAACACACATGTGTTGGGAGACTGCCATGCCGGGCACTACTCAAGACAGCGGGTGTAGCGAGAACTGACATGTCTCCCCATGGACAGTCTGCAGGGCACAGGCGCGCTAATAGGTGATCATAGTGTAGGTGTGCTGACCTATGAGGGGTGTGAGCAGAGTGTGACCCTGGGGGAGACAGGGGAGGGAAGCTGGGAGCCTCAGACGAGGTTATGTGAGCCTGTGCTTGTAGGGTGAGAGCCTGGTGGGTAGAAGCACCTGGCGTTAGAACACAGGAAGAAAGGTTGTGACAGCCAGAGCAGAGGGGCATGTGCATCAGGTTCTGGGATGCTGAGCCTAGGTGAAGCGGGGTTCCAAGGTGCTAGCTTTTGCCGTGGAAGCCCTACCAGTGCCCGCCAGCCCAGCTCTAGGGCATCCGGGTGCCCTCAGAACTAGGTCTTGCCCACACCCCTAGCCCCCCACTGTAGCCATGGAAGACCCCAGAGGGTTGGGTAAATGAAGGTCCAGGGTATAGAGAGGCAGCAGTGGCCAGGGTGACAAAGGGTCTGGCGTCAGGCCTGGGTTCCAGCCATGTGGGTGGTGGAATCGTGGTAGCCAGGTCCCTCTGAAGCCCCCCCTCCCCGTCTCTCCCCCCACAGAATACCTCCTTCACATTCCGTGTCCTCCAAGCAGAAGCTGGCCTTGTGGCCCTCTGCCACCTTGGTGCCATTGAGGTTCAGCAGGTCATAGTGGGTGAATACTTCCATGCTGTGATAGTGCCTGGGGGACAGAGAATGCCTGGAAAGTCAGTTTCTGGAGCAGCTGCTGCCCACAAGCAGCGGCCTGGCTGGCGATTTGCCTTTGGGAATACCTGGAACAGCACAGTCCAAGTGGGTGACTGAGCCGGGAGAGGAGAGGGTGGCGGGGCAAAAAGAAAGGGACGACGCTCGCCGTGGTGCTTCAGAGAGACCTTCAGGGCTGTGGAAATGGACAACCCACTCGCCTCACTAAGCCTCAGTCCTCTCCTCAGCTCAATGGGTACAAGCATGAAGTAAAGCATGGGATGCCATGGGCATTGGGAAGGTCCATGGATCAGCATGGCGCCTGCTGTGTACAATAACCTCAGTAACACACACAACTGTTTTCACCAAGCAGGGCCTCTCCTGAGTGTGCAACTGGCTCTCACAGTTCATTTCCATTTGGTGTACTTTCTCCACACTGATAGAAAAATATCATATTTTGATGTCTTCTGAGAACTTTAAAAGGAGGGTGGATATGGGAAGGAGGGAGAGAACAAAAGAGGGGAGGGGTAGTGAGAAGGGAGAGAGTGGGAAAGAACAGGTGCTAAGAAATAAGGTGTGCATCCTGCATGGACGTGCATGTACCCATGATGTAAGAAATAGGGGGTGTGTCCTGTATGGAACATCCATGTGCCCAGGGATATAAGAAATAGGACATGTGTCCTGTATGGAACATGCATTTGCCCCAGGGACATAAGAAATAGGGCACATGTTCTACATGGGACACACATGTGCCCCAGGGCTGTAAGAAATAGGGCACATGTCCTGCATGGGACACATGTGTGCCCCAGGATGTAAGAAGTAGGGCGCACGTCCTGCATGGGACACGCATGTGCCCCAGGGACGTGCATGCATTTCAGACCAGGATGGCGAGGGTCAGCGGTATCACCTCCAAGCAGGAGCAGCGGCAGGTCCATGCTCCCTGCATTGAGCAACTAAAACAAGCAGAAAGCAGCTGGGTGGCCTCTGGGAAAGAGAAGTGAGTCATCTCAAGGAGAGACAGCAGCATAGGAAGGCACATCTCTGGGGACCCTGAAAGGGAATGGGGCAGAGCTTTGTGCAACCAGGCTGCAGTTCCCTTGGCTGGGGATTTACACAACGATGCTCGGTCTCTTCACTAGGGAGGAATCGAGAACAGATGTGGAGTCCTGGAAAGTGATGCGCTTGGTTTGGAATAAACAAGTGAGACATGGCTGCCGCGTGTCACTGCGGGGCCTTCCCAAAGTCCTCACTGTCCAGGCCTGGAGCTGGAGGAAGCACCGCCTTGCCCCATCCCGACTCGCAACAGCGTGTCACAAGCGTCTGTACTTATTCAAACATGCCTGTCTCCACCGTTACAGGGACATTTAGGAAATGGGGGAAACTGAGGCACGAGGTACCAAGTCATGGGAGAAGAGTCGCATGTTTTGTTTGTGCTTGACCTGGGTTTCCTCACCAGCAAAGAGGGGAGGATAACTTGACCCACTCTCAGGGCTGCTTTAAGGATTCAGATAAATGATGTAAAATCCCCAGCATAAACTGGTCACAGATGAGTACTTGGTACCTGTCACGCCCATTAACCTTCACCATTACCACCACATAGTAATAATAGCAGTGTTTTTGTTGTTGTTTTGTTTTTATCACCACCACTATGACTCCTGCAACTCCCGGGCCAGCAGGATCTTCCCGCTTCCCAAGCCTCCTGGGGCTGGCCTCAGGTTCCCTCCACTGTGCAGGGGCAGAGGAGGGCAGAGAAAAGAGAGGAATGAAACGCCAGGCTCTCTGAGAGGAAATTAGAGGCTCTTTTTCCCTTCCTCCTGCATTTACTCATGCTAAAAATAATGTCAGGAGTTGCTAAGTTGGGCTTCCCCCAGTCACTCATGTTTCTGGGTAAAATGATGCGGAACCAGGGGCCCACGGAGAATATTCACAAGGAGGCATTCTGTGGCGGTTGAAGTGATGACTTTGAAAGAGTCTATTTTGGCTTCTCGAAGGAGCAAGATGAGACATGAGGTCTGACTCATGGCCTAAAAAATGTCTGCATCGCTCAGAGAGGGGCTTATGTTACCCTGTTTACCGGGCTGGAAAGACTGAAGAGAAATAGGTTTATGTTCCGTTGTCTAAACAGAATTCAGACGGACTCCACAGACAGATTCTTGTAAGGCTGACCCTGTCCTGCGCCTTGGCTTCCTGCAGACTTGATTTAAGAGGTTTCCCCGGCTTCAGTTTTTCCCCTGCAAACACGCGGAGGGAAGCAGCTGGTGTTACAGCCTCCCAATGTTCGCTGGCTTCTGTCCTGAAGCATCTATGCTTTACTTCTTAGGCGTATGTGGTCACCCCGCTCTCTTCCCCCGGGTCAGGTCTCCTTCCTAGCTGGCCAGATGTAGAGCCTAGAATCCCCCCCCACTATCTACCCACATGTCCCCAGGAAATACAGAGCAGGACCCTGGGAGGGTGGAGATGGTGAGTCCTGGCAATGAAAGTATTCTTCCTCTTTCCAGCCTGAGCTGCCATACCTTCGGGAGTCTAGGAGGGCACCCGATCCCTGGGATAGAGATAGGGAAACCCAGACGAAAAGAAATTCAGAACACGAAGAGAGAGAACACTCTGATGCTTGGTGGTGGTCACTGCAATCTGGACAAAAGGAAGGATGCCTTCTATCATCACACACCAACACAGGGTTCAGTGTTCTAAGATGTGGTACTCGCTAGGGAGGAGGTGTTGGATGAATACATGGATGGCAGAAAAGGCTGACTCAGGAGAAGATGGAGGTTCGAGTATGTTCTTTGCTATCCTAGGTCATTGGTTGCCCCAATAAAAGTCTCAAGTCAGAACTTTGGAGCTCTTTGTAGAGGACATTTTTGCATTCTGCACCTTTTCCCACATGAGCGACGTGCATTCTGGAATGAACAGTCCTGGTGGCACTCCGCTGAGGTTGGTGTAACACTTCTGTCCTCATTTGAGATGATGCAGGGGACATGTTTTCCAGTCCCAAGACATGCTACCCCAACAACAGGAGCCCTTATGCTTGCCCCACTCTGCTACCTCCCGGTGACAGGCACCCCCCTCCCCAGGCAGGAACAAACCCACAGGTGTGACGAGGGCCCCAGACCAGCTCACAGAGGCCACATCACAACTGTAGGCTTTGACCCTTCTGGGGGTTGCTCTGAACATGAGGGAGGAAGGGCAGAGTGAGTAGAAGTCTCCCCTTTGGAGCAATGCCATCCCTCAGTCGGAGGGCTGCCCTCCATGCTGGAGCTCACCTCCACTTCTCTAGCTCTGAGCTTCCTTGAGATGGGGGTGAGGGTGGGTGGGTGGAGCAAGCCCCTGGGCTGCTGGAACACAGCAGGGGAGCTTCTGTGGACCCTGGAGTGTGTCTGTGCCCAGCACTTCTGTCCCCTGTCAAAGCTGTGGCCTGATGTTGAGCTGGTGTGGACCTACTCTCTGTTTTACAACCAGACACTATTTCACGATTCCCAACCCAGGGCGTAACATGCGTGAGAGAACGACTCTGAGGACATTTTCTGCTACATCTGGTTGGCGCAGAAATCAGCCTGTGTTTCAGCCTAGGACTTTTAAAGAACAGAGCTCTGTTTCTCTTTGTAGTATTGATGAAATCGGACATGGCATTTCCCCCCAATTCACACTAACTCGAGCCAGGGTTCTCAAGCGTGGCTGCACAGATGGGCTTCTGAGTGTCTGTAAATCTGCTGAAATAGGTTGTTAAACTTCTAGAAATAATTTTTTTTTGAGGAGAAGAAGAGTCAGCTTTCATCAGCCTTTCAAAGGAAACTCTCAGAGTTCTGAGGCCAGGAACCCTGTTGAAAGGTCCTCCCACAGAGCGTGGCGGGGGGGGGGGCACTTAAGAGTCCCCAGGATATTATGGTCATAATTTCTCAGCTACAGACCTGAAGGGACAAACGCTTAGCCAGTAAGTCCTTCCCTCCCCTTCCCTCTTCTCCCAAACCATTGCCTGGAACATCTGTAAATAAAGAAAGAAAATAGACCAGAGGAAAAGTAGGGGGGAGTCAGAGTTCCCAGGCCCCAGATCAGAAGAGCACTTCGAGGATGTCACCATGTCCCTATTCTTAGAGTAGAGACTGACTCCTGAGAGTAAGTATATGGCGCAGGGAGAGTGTCCTACCATGTAATCTCTGGGTGGGTCACCATATGTAGGGTTGGGATGCAATTACCTTCTACTTATAGACCCATAGGCAGCGTCAGCCCCCGCCCGCCCAGGGCTCCTGCCCACACGTTCCCTGGAAATCAGGTGCCTGTATGGTCATGACTTTGACTCTACTCTTTGACTTACGCCCTGAAGAAGACCGACACGCTTCTATATAAAGACCAAGAGTTTGTGGGCTACTTAGGATGCTCAGAACATTCAGATAATCACTAGAAAGGAAAATCAGCCCCCTAAATTCTATCATCGTCTCCAAACTGATTTGAGTGTGACTAGGCCATCCACTGCGACAGAAAAAGAAGCCAAAGAGAGATTTCAGATGAAGAAAAGAGTCAGCTGAGGGAAGAGAAAGGACGAACACATTGGTGTCAGGCCTGAGCAGGGATCTCTGCTCTTGGCTGCTTCTTGTGCGTTATCTTGGGAAAAATATAATTGAGTCTCCATTTCCTTACCATATGAAAGTGACGATTTGATGGGCCTGACACTTAGAAGAGGACTAGTACCTATTGTTTCTTCTGCCGCTCACAGTGACCACCACATTACAGTGCTGGAAGGAACTCTCAACATCAAGTAGACAAGGCCTTCCTAGACTTTGATGTGCACACAGTCACCTGGAAATCTCTGTTAACTGCAGATTCTGACACGGAGGTCTGCAATGGGCCCTGGGGCTCAGCATTTCCAGGGCTCTCCCTGGTGGCAGATACTGCTGGGCCCAGGAGCTCCACTCTGAGAAGCAGGGATCTAGTGCAAAGGTTTTGTTGTATACATGGGATGTTTGGGCTTCGAGAAAGGAAATTTCTAGGTCAAAGTCTAGCCCTTCAGGGGCTTCCTGCTGTATTAGGTGGCAGAAGCCTCTCTCTCCCCCTTGTCAATAGTGTGCTTGCTTCTGTTCCTTCTACCTGCCCAGCTCAAGTCTGAGCAAGAAAATCCCTGAACAAGCAGGGAAAGCACGTTCTGGATTAGATTAAGAATCAAGGCAGGGTGGTGTGGTGGCTCACACCTGTAATCCCAGCACTTTGGGAGGCTGAAATGGGAGGATTGCTTGAGCCTAGGAGTTTGAGATCAGCCTGGGTAACAAAGCGAGACCCAGTCTCTACAACAAGTCAAAAAATTAGCTGGGGCCATGGTGATACACAGCTGTAGTCCCAGCTACTTGGGAGGCTGAGGCAGGATTGCCTGACCCAGGAGGTCGAGGTTACGGAGAGTCAAGATTGTGCCACTGCACTCCAGCCTGGGCAACAGACTAAGACCCCAATTCAAAAAAAAAAAAAGTCAGGCCAGGCACGGTGGCTCAAGCCTGTAATCCCAGCATTTTGGGAAGCCAAGGCGAGAGGATTATGCCTATAGTTCTGGTTACTTGGAAGGCTGAGGCAGAAGGATCGCTGGAGCCCAGCAGGTCGATGCTGGGGCAACAGCCTGGGCAACAGAGTGAGACCCCAACTCAGTAAAAGAAAAAGAAAAGTCAAGGGATTAAAGGAAAAAAAAGAAACAAAGGAAAGGTGGTTTGTTTTGGCTCCAACCAGGGCTGGCTGTGGGATTTCACCCTGTTCTTCTGTTCTTGCCGAGATTTATAGCACTGGGATCTATTCCACAGACTGACAGAGTTGGAAGGGCCATGTGAGGTCCCAGATGATGTGGCCCAGCCGATCTGACATCATGCAGCTGGCATGAAGCACAGCTGGGTTTAGAGACCAGCTCTCATGACTCCTGGGTCTAGAAGTCTGCCTCCACACCCAGACTATATATTTAAAATATATACCGCTATGTGAAATCAATTTCTCAATGAACCCAGAGGCCAACAACTGCACGGCTCAAAGTACTCGCCTGCGGAGACAAACCTGCCATTTGGCACTTGGAAGCCCATGGACTGGATCAGATCAATGAAGGGGACGTGGACACTCAAAACAAAGTTTGTCCTTTACAGTTAGAAGCCTTTGACCTGGTGCAGTGACTCACGCCTATAATCTCAGCACTTTGGGAGGCCGAGGAAAGAGGATTACCTGAGCTCACGGGTTCAAGAACAGCCTGGGCAACTTAGCGAGACCTCATCTCTTCAATAAATTAAAAAAAAAAAATTAGCCAGACGTGGTGGCGTGTGCCTGTAGTTCCAGCTATTAGGAAGGTTGAGGTGGAAGGATCACCTGAGACAAGCAGGTCGAGGCTGCAGTGGCCATGAGCGTGCCACTGCACTCCGGTCTGGGCAACAGAGTGAGACTCCAACTCAAAAACAAACAAAAAAGGAAGCCTTAGAGGCAGGAAGAAAGGGCTCAGGGGAGGGGGGGCAGGCCAAGGGGCTGGGAGCAAAGAAAGGCTTCTGGAAAGGTGATGACCAGCGTGGCAGACGCGACACCGCACCTGAGAAGGACTGTTCCCCCCACCCCTGGACCATGCAGGCTCTCAGCTGTCATTGCCCCGGGCATCTCTGAACCCCATCCCTGCATCCTGCAGGCTGTCGGTGGGGGCAGCTTGGCCGGGAGGCGGGGGAGGGCCTACCTGTGACAGTCATGCCAGATCCACGCGTGGCGACCGTTCTTGGGCCGGAAGTCGGACTGGCCGTTGTTGTGGATCTGGGAGGAGAAGCGCAGGAGCCGGCGGTAGCCCGTGGTGGGGTTGGTCTGGGCGGCCGAGGCCGAGAGGCAGTTCTCCTCCATGGCGCACTGCAGCATCATCATGGGCCGGTCCTCCAGGTAGGTGGTCTGCTGCACAATCTCGGCATTGAGGACCAGGTCAGGGGCAGCTGGGGAGGAGGCATGGCGATCGGTAAGACAGAAAACCCCCTCCCTCCCCACCGAGAGTTTCCCTTCTCACTCCTGAGCTGCCACAAACCCCATCCCTACCTACTACCACCTTCTAAACAGCTCAAGAGTTCCTTAAGTTTGTCCCTCTTATGTACAAGACCCCAAATTACTCTTTCCCTCTGCTGAGAGTCCTCTTTGACTTCCCTTCAGTTATCAGAGCACATGGGCAAGATGCTGACAAGGGTTGGATCAGGGTGATGGGTACATGAGGGTTCATTATATTATTCTACTTTCAAGCGGTTTCAAGTTTTCCATAATAAAAAGCAAAAAACCAGGTCAGGTAGGGTGGCTCCTTCCTGTAATCCCAGCATTTTGGAAGGCTGGGTGGGAGGATTGCTTGAGTCCAGTAGTTTGAGACCAGCCTGTGCAACAAAACAAGACCTCATCTCTACAAAAAATAAAAAAAATTAGGTGTGGTGGCTATCACCTATAGTCCCAGCTACTCGGGAGGCTGAGGCTGGAGGATTGCTTGAGGCTGGGAGTTTGAGACTGAGGGAAGGCTGCAGTGAGCTATGATTGGGTCATTCCATTACACTCCAGCAACAGAGTGAGACCCTGTCTCTTAAAAAAGGAAAAGAAAGAAAAAAAGACAACGGTTTTGTTTTGTTTTGTTTGCTTCCCAGAGACAGAACACTGCTAATATCTCAGTCTGATTTATCTGGGAATGGTGAATTTTCCAATACGTATTGTATGGTATGTAGGTTTATAGTCTGCAAATACTGTTCCCCTTAAAATCCATCTCGACATATTTCTATGTTGATATATACCCATTATAAATTACATTTCATGGTTACATAATATTTAATTCATAACCCTATCGAGCTTGTATTTTTAGATTCATTTGTTGCCTAGAATCTTTCACAGTTACAAGCTGTGATAAACATCCTATAATAAATCTGCATATATAACTTGATTTTTCTCTTGAGAATATGTATCTAGACGTGAAATTGCTAGGAGGAAGGGTTGCCTATTTTTAAGGCTCTGATGCGTGTTGCCAAATTGTCTTCTTAACAGTCTCTTCCAATTTCCATCATATACACTGTTGTCCTATGTGAGAGATTTCCCCAGGTGCCTGTCTTTAAAAAAAAAAAAGCTTGATGTACTCAATTAGTGCATTGCATATAGCAGATGTTAAAGGAATGACTGATGGCACAAACTATGTTTACTAAACAATTGTATAAGGATGCTTAGTTTCTTTGCAAAAGGATTAACTATAGCTTTCCCCCCCTAAGTGAGCTTTCAGCAAGCGTTTCTAGTACATTTCAATTCAGAAAAATGTCGTATATGAATTATTTACAAGATCCTGCCATCTTTTACTCTGACAAGTTGCTCATAAATTTCTCAAGTGAAGTCTGTGAGGTTTGCTTTCTTCATATTAATCAGTGCCTGGTGGGGGCTCTGTTTCCTCCTCCCCTACTGCCTTCCAGGGTACCAGGCTCAGTAAACACTGTGAACCCATTAGCACCCTCTAGAGAAGTGGGCGTGGAACCGAAGGATAGTGAAAGGGGGCACACAGATGGTTTGTGGGGTAGGGAGCAGAAGGCATACATCAGGGGGCTCCCATTTGTTGACAAGGATTTATTCTTGGAGGACACGCCAGGATACTGCATTGCTCAGTGCTGAGTGTTGTGGGCACACATTTTTGTGAGGGTCTTGCATGAGTCTCTTATTAGTTGCCAGCTAAAGGACAGCCCCTCTGCACACCTCTGAGCTGAGCACAGGGGTCACTGATTGGGCCTTCCCTTTGGCTCACCACGAGTGGGATCTGTTAATGTACCGTGGTCTATGCTTAGCTGGTAGCCTGCAACCTGTACTCTCAACACCTGCCATGGGATGCTCCTCTGAGGTGTTCATCCACCCACCCCTCCCTCAGGTATGATGATGAATGCTGTGCTAGCCTCTCTGAGCAAAAGTGGAGCCATCTCAGATTCCAGCAAGAGAGACAGATACATTGAGCACATATTAATTACTTTACAATTGTGGCAAGAGGGTTGAGAAGCAATATGGAGCTTGATGGGAATTGTAACAGGGGGAGTCTGTCAGGTGGGCTGTCAGGAAAGACTTCTTTGGGGGAAGCTGTGTTTCAGTTGCTCTCTAAAGAGTTAGCAGGGACTCAGGAAATAGCTAAGGCAGAGGGTGGGAAGAGCCTTCCGGCAAAACAAGCAGCCCGTGGCAGGACCCTGCAGCACAAAAAAGGCCAGTGTGGTTGGGACACTGAGGATGAGCGGAAACAGTGGCCCCGAAAGGGATCGGATAGCTGGAGCCTAGGCAAGCCCCTCAGGGAAGCCTTCTGTGGGGAAGTGTGGTGGGAACCTTGGGTGGGATTTGAACGGGGAGAGGTGTGAATGGGAGGAGGCTTTGGCTCTGGCTTTGGGGAGGGGAAGCCAGCACAGGGGTGCCCATCGTGGTGGGGACCTCCTTTGCAATGAGGTAGGGTGGAAGGTGGTCATCTGGATGCAGACAGCGGTGATGGGAAAGAAGGACATACAGGGAGTCAGAAAGGTAAAACTCAGGCTGGACGGAAGAGAGAGAGAGAGAGAAAGCAGGAAGACATGAAGATTCCAGCTGTGTGTGACTGGTGGGGTGAGAAAAAGTCATTACAAAGGGAAGCCCGAAGGATTACTTTATCTCCCTGAATCCCCTAACATGCATTTAGGTGGATCAGCCAAGACCTGTGTTCTTGGCCCAAACGGTTTTGTCTGCCTGTGGACACGCTCGGCAGTGGTGCTCGGATATTGAAGGCATCGTTCACTTCATAACTTTCAGTCCTCATACAGAGAAATTCCCTCCAATCTCAGTGCCTAGAATTGTGGGCTTCTCTTGACTCACGGGTTTGTTTCCATCTCATAGGCTCCACCCCTGCCCAGAGAGGCTAGCACAGCCTTCATCATCATACCCGAGGGAGGGGTGGGCAGATGAACATCTCAGAGAGCTCTGCTGGCTGCAGGTGTTGCAGGAGCCAAGTCTCCATCCCATGGCCCGTGTTGAGAGTGCAGGCTGCAGGCTACCAGTTAACCAGTTTTCCCTCTTTCCTCTGGCTTCTAGGAAGCTCACTGCGAAGTTAATGAACTTTTCATAGTAAGTGTATAGAGCTCCATAGTACAATTTTTAAAAACTAACTTCTCCCTGGTTCCATTTTAAGATATACCTTTTGACAAGCATCTACCTGGCTTTCAACTGTTTTCATTTCAGGTGATCTTGAATTTCATTTAGGGTTATGTTATCTTAATTTCCTTTTTTTTTTTTTAAACATAAGATCTACTCTGTCACCTGGGCTGGAGTGCAGTGGCATAACCACAGTTGACTTCTGCCTCAACCTCCTGGGCTCAAGTGATCCTTCTACCTCAGCAATCTGAGTAGCTGGGACTACAGGTGTGCACCACCATGCCTGGCTAATTTTTGTTTTCTTTTCTTTCTGTTTTTGGTCTCGAACGCCTGACCTCAAGCGATCCTCCCACCTAAGCCTCCCAAAGTCCTGGGATTACAGGCGTGAGCCACCTTGACTGGTCCTAATTTCCTTCAGGAATAGATGGGATATTGTACATACAGATACACTGATACATAAAGAAAAGGCCCTTGATGGGGGTGTGGCCAGTCCTCTCTGCTTGGATGCTCTCCCATGGAGGCTGGTCAAGTGGTGATCGCACCATGTCTCCTCTCATACAGGATGCGACAGCTTGTGATGTCTGCCCAGAGAAGCTCGCCCTGGGGATGAAGCATTCTGCTTTGCAAGGGTCAGGAAATGCCTGTGAGTCTAAAAGGGGTAGCTGGGAGAATGCAGCTGCTGAGCTCAGGTTAATTTCCTCCCTCATTCTCCCAGATGGTGAAATGGTAGCGCATTGTTGTTTGCTAAGTACTCTTGCATAAACTCATTGTCACATTTGATTTCCAAGTTCAAGGAATAGCAACACCTGCAGATCACAGAGATTAACTAACTTTGCCAAGATCAGCCATTGAGGCAGGGTCTGGTCTCAAGTTCTCTGGCCAGTTCCTGGGCTTCCCAATGGAGATGGCTACATGTGAGTTTAGAAGGCAGGATGGGGAGATCGGGTTTGAGCTCAGTAGACAATATCCCACAAGGCCTCCCACCGGTCCCCACTCCTCTCTCAGCAGGGAAGGGAGTCTTCAGGAGCTGCGTCATTCTGAATCTTGTTGGGGTTCCCTTCCATATGCCAAGCTCTCTAGGACTCCAGGAAGTCACCACATAGCTAAGTTACTTTCAGGGTCTGAAATCGGGAAGTGGTCTCGGGAGGAGTTGGAGCCCTTGATCATAGACTATGCCTGAGGTCACTAAAATAGTCCGCAGTGGCCCTGTGATTTGAATCTAAGGCTACTAGACTCCCAAGTCCCTCCCTTCTGCTTTCCTTCCCGCATGTTACATGTAAGGCTCTGCATTTGGGGGGGGGCGGTGACAAGGGTTATCCCTCTTGCCCCGAATTCTTCTCTCTTAATAAGATTTTGTTCTTATTAAGGTCCCAGAGCCTCACAAGGAGTAACTGGTGGAATTCTGGTCCCCTCTGGAGCCTGGCGGGGAGGATGGGGCATGACCCCCAGGAGCTCTCACTTTCTGAGCAGGCGACTCCGGCCCCGTACTGCACCCCACCCTGGGGACAGGCCACGTCCTCTCCATCGTGGCGACAGTGGGCCAGGGACAGCTCCGTTCCCGAGCACTTCACTCCGCTCATGACCACTTTGTTGGCGTAGACATTTCCGTGCCAATACCAGGTCTCCTGGATGAATCAACAAAACAATGGCTGGTATGTCACCTTGAATTGTCACTTTCTCTTATCCTGTCAACTTGCAGCCTCACAAAAACCCCAAGCCTTTAATTTATGATCCCGTTTTTTTAGATGGAGACAGCCAAGGCGCAGAATCACTTACCCAAGCTGAGCCGTTAGTGGTGGCAGAGTGAGTAAGAGTCCAGGTCTTCTGACCCTAGCACTTGGATTCTATGACTCTCTCCCTTGGGAAAGTAGAGCTAAGGTTGCAGTCAAACATATGTGCAGTGTGGCATGTCAGGAATGGTAGGTGCCCGCAACTTACATTGCCTGCTCCCTAATCCTGAGCCAGAGCAGACATTGCCAATCAATCACAGCACTCTCTCCTCCATGCTTGCATGTGCTCTCCGAATCATTCTTAGAAAGACACTGCCAATTGATGGGAATGTCAATCGTTAGTTCGATAGGTCATAAAGACTAACTTCTGGATTTAGACTTTCTCCAGTTTAAAAAGCAGTTACTGGAATATTCTGCACAGAGGCTGAGGAGACCCCAGGTGGATGATGCTGAGATCTATAACTCTAGTAAATGTTCTGTTGTGATGGTTAACACTGCATAGGTTCTACCTTTTGTCGTTTTTTTTTTTTTTTTTACAATTTTGAAGCTCCTGTGCTTCGAAATATTGTTAGGATATACTCTCACATTTCAGAGACGTTTCCAGCAGAGAAAAATGAGGATCAGATGGGAACAGTCAGGGACTGAGCTGGGATGAGAACACAGGTGCCTGCATTCCTGAGATCTCTCAGACTTGGGGGCTGAGGCAGGATTTAGGGAAGTCATCTCGGGATCCTCAGAGAGAGACCATTGGGACAGGAAGAGCCTTGGAAATATCTCATCTAAACCCTCCTGTGATAGTTAATTTTAGGTGTCCGCTTGGCTAAGCCACAGTACCCAGATATTTGACCAACAACTCTTCTAGAAGTTTCTGTGAAATAGTTTTTAAATGAGATTAGCATTAAAGTCAATAGACTCAGTACAACAGATCACCTTCATAATATGGGTGGACCTCATCCTATCAGTTAAAGATCTTAGGAAGTAAAAAGACCGATGTTCTCCCAAGGAAGAAATTCTGACTGTGGACTGCCTCAGACTTGAGCTGTAACATCCACTCTTCCTTGGGTCTCCAGTCTGCCTCCTGGTCTACCCTGCAGATTTCAGACTTGCCAGCCGCTATAATCCTGTGAACCAATTCCTTAAAATAAATCCCTCTCTCCATACACACACATGTACATGCACACACATACACACAGACATACACATTCATGCACTCTACTGGTTCTGCTTCTCTGGAGAACATGCCCAATATCCTCCTCCAACTCCCCATCCTCCAGATGAGAAAACCGGGGCCTTGAGAAGAGACGGGGCTTGTAATCAGAAATAGAAATGGGACGGACGTCAGGTCCAGGCCCATTTCATGACCCCAGCTGAGGCCCAGATATCTTAGGAATGAACTGAAGGGAACACAAATAGCTGGACAGCAGTGCTAATGAAATATGGCACTGTTTTTCCACTCTCCTTGGAGAATTAGAGGGTGCTCTAGTTGCTAGAAATGTATCAGCAGAAGCACTGCGTTGTCCCTGGAAGCCGTGCTCCCAGAGGACGTGGGCAGTGTTTCTGAGGCCTGACCCTTCTGGATGAGGAGCCATAGGGCAGGGGACTTGGGGCAGCTTCTCCTCAGGACTCAGCACCTCCATCAGAGCAATCTGGGTCCTGGCCAGCCTGTGGGAGACAGACTCGGCCAAGATGTCGGATTTCTCCCTTCTCTCTCTAAGAACCGCTTTCTTAGGCCCAAAGAAGGGTCTCGACTCAGGCCGAGAGCTGGAGTCAGAGTTAACAACACAGGCGGAGGGTCTCAAAGCATCTTCCTGTTCTACAAGCTGCTTGATGAAGGTGTTTAGAGCTCGGACTTGGGATTGCTCATGCCACATCACAGGGAGGTCAACTGAGGCATGGAAGCCTGGCTGCTTTGCTCCAGACCATGATGCAGCCAGTGGGCGGGCACAGATCTTGAGCCTCCTCTTCCCCTGCTGCCTGTGATCGAAGTGGGAGGGTGGGAATGAGGACCAGAACTCAGCTGTTCTCAGTTGAGTCACTCTTGAACCCGCAATTTCAGGCAATCCTCTCACCTCGGCCTCCCAAAGTGCTGGGATTACAGGCTTGAGCCACTGTGCCCAGCTTGGCCGAGTCACTCTTTTTGGAGAAGGGGCCAACGGGAAAATGGTGCAGCCAATGTGACAAAGGCTCTGCACAAGGCTTGAGGATTCGCTAGTGTGTCAGTGGGAATGCATGAGGCTTGGACATCAGCTGGGAAACATGTTCTGGCCAAAGGGGACTTCCAGGGGAGAGAGCTAAGGCATTTGGGGTTTAAGCCTTGGGCTTGGAGTCACCACTGCCCTAAAGGACTGAGTTGCTTCCTTCTGCAAAAGGCCCAGCAGGAACCCCCCTGCCCCCCGCCCCCAGGATCAGCCCTGAGCTCAGGGTGAATTCCAGCATGCAGACTGCAGAAAGCAGAATTCGGCTTCTTCTATAGCTGGAAAATAGAGACCAGAGGCTGGAAGTGACCTGCCCGGGGACTCAGGGCTGTCAGCGGCAGAGCTGTGGCTAGAGAGAGTCTTCCTGCCTCCTGGTCCAAGGCCCTTGGCCCTGTACCTCCCACATGGCAATGGAAGGTTTGTGGGAGAGGAAGCCTGATGGAAGATGGACACAGTCAGATGGCACGGAGGGCGGGTACAAGGTCCGAGGCCGGGACTTCTCACCTGGAAGGCGCTGCTGGCGAACCCCAGGCCCAGCTGCCGGCAGACCACCATGGCCTCCACGATGCCCCAGTTCTCACCGCACACCGTCCCCCATACGAGGGACCCATTCCTCTCCACCAGCACCTCCACCCGGCCCTCGTAGGGATTGCGGCCCCCGTTCAAGCGCAGCTGCAGACAGAAAGGAAGGCACGGTCACCAAAGGGGATAGACAGGAGCCTTCTCGCTATGATACCATCAGCCCCAATTGCTCCTGGCCCCAAGCCTGGCGATCCTGCCCGGGACATACTCAGACTCGGAGGCATCCTGAGAGCCTCCTGTGTGGCGGCCTCAGACCCAGGATGGCCTTAGGGGGGGGTCCCCATCCCAGGCACTCTGGCCCTAGAGGCCCAAGCAGCGGGAGGCCCACTGACCCCGTGAGCGCCACAGCAGAAGCAAACTCTGCCCTGCAGGAGCCTAACAATAGGGGGCTGTTCTTCTAATCAGACACTAGAGGATGTGCTCAAGGGACCCTAAAGTGCCAGAATTCTCCAAGATTCATTCCTGGACCGTTTTCTCTTTGCTTCACCCCCTACTTGGCTGGCTCCAGTCCCTGATCTCATTTTGTGTTCTGGATGACACCCCCGCAGTTCCCCCAAGCTGTCTATTTGAAAATTTCACTTGGTGAACTGGAGATCCCAAATCTGAATCTGAATGACTGGATGTGGCCATGTTCCAATAAAACTTTATCTAGAAAAACAGGCAGAGGGAGAGGTATTGTCCACAGGCTGTGGTTTGCTGGGATCCTGAATCAGATATATGATGATTCAAGCCGGAAACGGAGGCCCAATTCTCAACACCTCCCACTTGCTTATTCCACATCCTGTCAAAATCTTCATCCTGGGAACTCATCTCTTGTCTCTCTCCAGTCTGTCCACCGCCCTCCAGGCCTTCCCTCAGCTCTTGCCTAGGCCGGGCCTCCTCACCTCTCTTACTATCTTTGGCCTTCAGGGGCTCATTCTTTACTCAGAGGCCGGAGTCATGCTCTAAAGACCATGATCAAGCCACTCTCCTGCTTAGACCCATGACTATCTTTCCACTGGCCTCCTGTTCTCCTCTCTGGCCCACCTCATGTCTCCCTCATCCTTGTTCCCTGACCCCCAGGCTCACAGGCATTCCTTCTATTTTCGGGGCTGTCTGATTTTTCTCAGTCACGTCACACAGTAAACAACACACTTTACATTGAAGCCTGCTACAGACAGACACCCTTTTGCCTGGTTGATCCCTCTTCCTTGTTCAGATTCCACAGCAATGAGCCTTCTCTCTGACTGGGGTCAGTGCTCACACATTTCTTTTTCCTAGAGACAAGGTCTTGCTCTGTCATCCAGAGGTGCAATTATAGCTCACTGCAGTCTTGACCTTCTGGGCTCAAGCCATCCTCTAACCTCCGTCTTCCAAGTAGCTGGGACTACAAGCATGCACCACTACATCTGGCTAATAAAAATTTAACTTTTTGGTAGAGGTGGGGGGGGGCTTGATATATTGCTCAGGCTGGTCTTGAACTCCTAGACTCAAGAGATCCTCCTACCTCGCTCTCCCAAAGTGCTGGGATTATAGGCATGAGCCACTGCACCTGGACAACCCCCATTTTATAGACAGGAAAGTGAAGTCTGAGATCAGGTCAGTGTCTCTTAACCCTAGACCACCTCTAACCCATCTTCATGAAGCACCTTTTCCAAGGATACTGTTGTCCAAAGGCAGGACACACTGAACCAGGACTGAGGACCGAGCTGAGTTCACAGCTGGGATGGAGGACAGAAAGCTCCCAGGTGGAGACCCAGGCCCTGGGTCCTGGCCTAGGCATCCCGAAGCATTTACTGTCCACAGGGACCCTGGCATTTGGACTGATCCCTGGGGCTTAGGGCACTCGCTAAATTACCGACTTGTGTCCCTGTGTAAACCATCTCTGGTTGCCTCTCAGCAGGGGCTGCCTTGGCCAAGAATGCTCTGCCAGCCCCTCACTTACACCCTCTTTCCCCACGCCTCTGGTCTTCTGAGTCTCCAGCCTCCTAGCCTGGTTGTGGCCCAGGTGAAACTGTGCGTTAGGACAGACAGACACAGTTGAACTGTGGTGGAGACTGCAAGCCTGAGACTAGGCCTTGGCATGAGCCCTCTAAAAATCTGAGCTCTGATTTTCCAGAGCCTAAAGCTAAGCTTGGGAGGGGCCTCTCCCCCTTGGCATGGTTCCCGGCTCCCACCTCCCCCATGGAGTACTGAGGGCCTCACAGGATAGGGAGGTGAAGGCCAAGGCATGGACCCTTCTAGCAGGTGGAGTTAGCACTCACATTTAGAATGCCAGCCCATGGTGACCAAGTTACTATTGTTTTTAAATTCCCTGCACTGTGCGGCCTTATTGAAAGCACCTGGGGCAGACAGTGCCCTTCCCTGCCGCTTTTCTCTGCCACAGTCTCACAGAATCTAGCTTTACTTTGTCATTTTTAGGTCAATGACAGATGGGGACAGAGAAGCCTGAAGGACCCCTATTCATGCCGTGGGAGTCCCAAGTCTAAAGCTTGGTGTGGAGGCTCCTGTCTCCAGGGCTCTCTTTGGGAGAGTATCAGAGAGCCCTTTCTCCTTGTCCACCACTGCCTGTGTAGCCCTCCCTGGCTGGTTGTGGGGCAGTGTCTCTGTCCTGGGGGCTAAAGCCAAGCCAAGTCTCAGAGGCTCTGGCTGCAAAACACGGTTGCCATATTGACTCCAGGGTCAGGAAAACATGTGGTCATCAAGGGCACTTCCCAAGGCTCCAAGGTGCTGCCATAGTTCTCCAAGGCTGACCAGGCCTGGAACGGCCTCCTTGACAGGAAGCAGGGTTGAATCTGGGCGCTTCACACATAGGGAAACTTTTCTCATTTTCCAGAGAAGACTGGAGTGTGCAGAGTGGCTGGCACGAAGTTCCAACTCAGCACAGGACATGGCTAGCCATTCCCAGGGCCCCATGCAAGGCATCAGCGTTTTGGAAATCTCCTGGCTTGCCGGTGAAGGTGCTCAGACTGCACCAGTGACAATGGAGCCCTGAAAGCCCTGGGAATCAGCCAGAAGCCTCTGGTCTCGCCCTCTCTACCTTGTCACCCAGAAGGATGCCAGGAAGGCCAATCCTTCTCAAAAGCCTCTTAAAGCAGCCCAGGCATTTCCCTTTTCCTGTTCCTTTGGTTCTCAGTGGCAGCAGTATTCAAGGGAGTGAAGTGTGTGGGCAACTTGATTTTTCTGAGCATGAATAGAGGAAAAGAGAACATCCCCAGTGGAGGCCAGCAAGGTTGTGCTGTGTTTTGATAAAGCTGTGGCTAGCCGGTCCCATGCTTATTTTTGGAAGTGGTGGGGCAGGATGTGAACCCAGATGTTAACAGGTAAGGGGGAAGGGGGGGCTTTCCAATTCACATTCCACACATGGGCTGGGCCTGCTGCCAGGTCAGGACCAAGCCTGTGGTCCGGAGGTGAACTGGAGGCCATCAAGGCGGCGGCTCTGGGTGGACTGGCTCACCTGGGAAACCCACCTGCCATTTCTGGGATCCCACCTTGGAGCCTCTCTCCCAACAATGAAGGACACGAGGCTTTACTGCTGCTGGGTGGGCATCTGGTTCCCAGGGTGCCGCCTGCACGAGCCACCCCAGAGAGAAGCCCATTTTCTAGTGAGCCAGGGCAGGAAGGGAAGCCTGGAACCACCTCTCTCATCTTCTATTTTCAGAGGAGGACAAGGAAGACTCAAGGACATTAAATAAGGAATCAGTTAGTGAATGATGGTTAGGGACTAAATTGTGTCCCTTCCCCAGTCCATAGGTTGAAGCCTTAAACTCTGTATTTGGACATAAGGTCTTTTTTTTTGAGTTGGAGTCTCACTTTGTCTCCCAGGTTGGAGTGCAGTGGCACGCTCATGGCCACCCCGGTGTCGACCTGCTGGGCTCCGGTGATCCTTCCGCCTCAGCCTTCCAAGTAGCCAGAACTACAGGTGCTTGCTACCACGCTCAGCTAATTTTTCATTTTCTTTTCTTCTTTTTTTTTTTTTTTTTTTGGTAGAGACAAGGTCTCACCAAGTTGCTGGTCTTGAGGCCCTGTACTCAGGCAGTTCTCTCACCTTGGCCTCCCAAAGTGCTGGGATTATAGACTTGAGCCACTGCACCTGGGCTTTTTTTAAAAAAATTTTTTGAGAGCCAGGGTCTGACTCTATCACTCAGGCTAGAGTGCAGTGGTGCGATCATAGCTCACTGTATCCTCGAACTCTTGGGCCTGAGCTATTCTCCTGCCTCAGCCTCCAGGATAGCCGGGGCTACAGGCACGTGCCACCACAGACATACAGCCTTTAAAGAGGTGATCAAGTTATGCACAGCAGGTCATACCTGTAATCCCAGCACTTTGGGAGGCTGAGGTAAAGGGATCAGTTGAGGCCAGGAGTTTAAGACAAGCCTAGACAACATAGTAAGACCTCATCTCTACAAAAAATAAAAAAATTAGCTGGACTTTGTGGTGCATGCCTGTAGTCCCAAATATTCAGGAGCCTGAGGTAGAAGGATTGCCTGAGCCCAAGAAGTCGAGGCTGCACTGAGCTGTGATTGCACCACTGCACTCCAGCCTGGGTGACAAGAGTGAGATGCCCCCACCCAAAATAATTAATTAATTAAGCAATAAAATAAAGAGGTGATTAAGGTCAAATGAAATCATATGAGTGGGCCCTAAACCAATCTGACTTTGGTGTCTTTATAAGAAGAGGAAGAGACACCAGGGATGCTTGGGCACAGAGGAAAGACCGTATGAAGACACCAGAAGACAGCCTGCTTCTGCAACCCAAGAGGAGAGGCCTCAGGCGAAGCCAATCCTGCTGACACCTTGATCTTGCACTTTCGGACTCTGGAACTGTGAGAGAGCAAATGTCTGCTGTGTGAGCTACCCAGCCTGTGGCATTTTGTTAAGGCAGCTTAAATAAACGAATACAGTCTTAACAGCTGGACAGCTTGGCTCTGCTCAGCGTGGCTGCTGACACCCTTTGTAGACCCCCACCAGGCTGTGCTGAAGCCCTGTCACCATGGCAAGATTGCTGGTGCAGCCCATGGGGATATCTTTCCCGGGTCACTTTCCCCATTTCCTTGGGGTGGGGGAGGGACGGAATCCACAAACCCCTGGAGCCTGAGGCCTTGGGAAAAGGGGAGGGTTGTTTGTGTCAGGAGCATGGGACATCTGCAGCACAGCCAGGCACCTGAGCTGGCTCAGCCCTGCTCCCATAACACCATTCTGGAAAACTTCATTTTCTTTGGCTGAGATCTTGCATCCCCCTTCGCCCCAGTCTGTCTGAAGTGAAGAGTCCATGGCATATCAGGACTCACAGCTCATCACCTTTCAACTTAGGCTAACTTGGAACGCGAGGCATTTATAGATAGAGTTGTCCCCTTAGAGGTGGCCCACGTTCCTCCCCACCCACTAGCAAACACCATTTAGCGAGTACTGCTGGCTTCACATTTATGGCACCATTGGGTGGCAAATTGCATGAGACATGCTGTGGCCAACTGGTCCAGGAGCACTTTTGGTTAGAATTGCTGTCAGAGCAGGGGCCCGGCTGGGGAACCATCTTGAACCCTGATGTGTCCACATTTGCTCATTTAAAAAATGAGCACATGAAGAGCTCTTCCAACATGCCAGCCCTATGCCAAGTGAAGTACCACACCCAGCTAAATTCATGTCATAGTGAAGAGCATTAGGTAGGATTTACAAGGTGTTCTTGTGGGATTGGACACACTTCATGGATGGCAAGGCGGACTTCATCTTGTTGGCTACCCCTGTGGGCAAAGTCATCCCAGCCAGGAGATATAGTGTAGGTTTTTGGAGGCCCTGCCTTAGGAAAGGAGGGCTGTGTCCCTGGCCATAATGCTAAGATTTCCTTTTCCTTCCCTTTCTGTGTTGTACTTACATCTGTGTGGTTTACAGACCTGCTGTCTCTATGGTTTTCTGGAAAAGGGTTCACATCTCCCACCCATCTCCCACCCTCAGTTTAAGTTGGGCTCCCTTATGTCACAGGGGCTGTGGACCTTCTGTCCACCTGCAGAAAGAACCGAGTTGCTGGCTGGGCTCGATGCCTCAGCCTGTAATCCCAGCACTTTGGGAGGCTAAGGAGAGTGGATTGTCTGAGCTGGTGGGTTTGAGACCAGCTCAGGCAACTTGGCGAGATGTCGTTTCTACAATTAAAAAAAAAAAATTAGCCGGATATGGTAGTGCACGACTGTAGTTCCAGTTACTTGCAAGCCTCAGGCAGAAAGATGGCAGGAGCCCGGCAGGTTGACACTGGGGTGGCCGTGAGCGTGCCACTGCTCAGCAGCCTGGGCGACGGAGTGAGACTCCAACTAAAAAATAAATAAATAAATAAAAAAGAACCCAAGTTGCCATCACACCATATGTCCAGTTCCCGAGCAGGGTGTGGTGCACCGTGGAGTCCGACACCTGCCACTAGGGAGGGTGGTGCTTACGTGGATGTGTCCTCATTTGGCACATTGGCAAATGCCAGGTGACAATGTCAACAACAGTGACAGCAGCAGTGCCTGAGCACTTTCTGATCTCATCTCACAGCATTGGAATACGCCTCTGGATTCCTTAAGAGTGGGGTCACCTGGTCTACACTTCCAGGGTCCTCAGTAAATCCCCTCACCTTCTTCTGAAAGCCCATGGCCGGGATGTTGCATCTCACACCAGCATCCTCCTCGTGGCTGCAGCCCTGAGACTCGGCATTGAACTTGCAGTCTATGATGGACTTCTCATTCCCTGTGCACTCGATCTCATTGAGGTGGATGGGTCCCATCCCTGGGGAGGCAAAACACACATATGCTATGAAAGCTTCTGAAGGAAAATTTCTGGAATCGGCAATCAAGCCCTGGACAAGAGCATGCCTCTCCCATCCTCAAGCTCAGTGACCCAGGCCTCTTCTCCCTGGGTAGAACATTGCTTACTTCTTGGGATTCATTTCTCCCATTACAGCAAATAAAGTTTGCTACTAACTTTCTATGTGACCGTAGCCAGATCACCCAGTCTCTCTGAATACTGGTTTTCTCACATAAATAAAGGAGTTGGACTTAGGAGTTGGACTAAGTTTCCTTCCCACCTTTAATGTCTTATGCATTTATGAATCTAAACGGGGTAATTATTGCTGCATCACTCAGGGTTCTTGCAGGAAACAGATGGTATATACAAGTTGGATGATTTGAGTTAGAAAAAGGATTTTTTGGAGGGTGAGGGGTTGGGGTATCACTTTGTTGCCCAGGCTGGAGTGCAGTGGCACGCTCATAGTTACTGCAGCCTCGACCTGCTGGGCTCAGGCGATCCTTCCGCCTCAGCCTTCCAAGTGGCTGGAACTACAGATGCACACCACCACACCCAGCTAATTTTTGTGATTTACTGTAGAGACGAGTTCTCACCAAGTTGCCCCAGCTGGTCTCGAACCCGCAGGCTCAGGCAATCCACTAGCCTCGGTCTCCCAAAGTGCTGGGATTACTGGCTGAGCCACTGCGCCCGGCCAGAAAAAGGGATTTTAAAAATAAAAGTATGGAGGGAGTGCAGGGAAATCACAAAGGATAGTCCAGTATTCAGGGGCTGGTAGCACTGGGCCACAGATGCCTCCCCTGTGAGTGAGGAGAAGCCAGACCTGAGCCAGAAGAGGAAAAGATCTGTGTGGAGAAGCCACCTGCTAGGAGCTGTCACTCCTGGTGGAGGGACACAGCACCTGTGGGATCTTGCTGGGAGAAGCAACACCCTGGCCCCTCTCCTCTGCATGCTTCCAATTCCTGCCAGGGCTGCTTGTTGGCCAAACCTGACCGAGACTTCAGGGTACGGGACATTATGGGCCAGGGTGGAGGGTGGACCTGGAGGGGCAGACAGAAGGAAGATATCCAGCAAGTGACCTTTGGCGGCAATGCAGGAAGCGTCTCTTACAGGCATTGAGATAACAGGAGTGAGCTCCCCAGGTTGTCAGTTCACATCAGCTCACAAAACTCTCTTCTGTGCAGTCTGGCAAAATGGGCTGGGGTCGGTTCTTCCTAGGTGCTCTGGGCTGCGCCCACTCCCATCTTCTGGGCTTCTGCTAGGCTGCTGGCTTCATCACTCTCCTGATCTTCCCAGTCCTCCTCCCACGGAGTCCTGTCCCTCAACACTCAGACGTGTGGGAAAATCGCCCACTTTGACCACACCCCTCCCTCTGGGACGTCACTCTCCTCTTCTTGGAGAGGAGAGAACTTCTTGGAGAGTTGTCAGTTTGTGTTTTTGCTCCTTCCAGGGCCGGAAACAGGGTCTTCCCCCGTCTGTTTCTCTGCCAGCCTTCCCTGTTTCAGGAAACAGCACCTCCGACATCCCAGTTGTTCTCGCCAGAGCTCAGAGGTCATCTCTGGAATCACCTCCTCCCCTCTTTCCCTGACAACCAGTCCATCAGCACGTTCTGCTCTACTCTGCTCACTACCCCCAAATCTGGATGCTCCCCTCCTCCTATTTCTGCCACCAGAATACCTGGCTGACCCTGTAGTCTCCCATTTGAACCAAAGCAGCAGCCTCAGTCTCCTGCCCTCTTGCATGTGTCTATCTATCTGCCCCACAGCAGCCCAGGATAGGAAAACCCTCCAATGGCTTCTCACTGCACGTAGAGAGGAGTGCACAGAATCTATTGCCACCAGACGGCCCCCAGTCCCTGTGTGATCTGGTTGCCATTCACGGTCCAGCCTTGCCTGCCCCTCCCACCTCGGCCACATGGGTCCCCCTCTGGCTCCTCCATTGGGCCATGTTGACCCCTCTGCCTGGACCATTTTCCCTCTCTCACCAGCTGTCCCCTGCTCATCCTGTAGGGCTTGGCTTCACTGTTGTTCCCTTAGTGAGCCCTTTCTGACCCCCACTTTGCACCCCCAGTTGGGCTCCCTTGTATGGCCTCTCACTGAGCACTCTGCTTTACATGGTCTCCACTGGCTAGGTGTGGAATGTCTGTGCATCTTCCCCGCTAGGCTGGAGGACCACGAGGGCACAGAATCTACCGCCATCAGACGGTAGGGACCGTGTCTATTTCCCTTTGTATATTCCCAGCCAGTGCCTGGCAGACAGGAAATGCCCATGTGGTGTCTACATAGATGCTGCTGTCTTCACTGAGTGCCCGTTACACGTCAGCCTCCATGCTAGGTGGTGAGGATTCAAAGATGGGTAAGGTGGACCCCTGCCCTGAGGAGCCCCTATTTCCTGGGGCAGGTGGAACCTCCACAAAGACTTGTGATACAATATGGTTGATAATAAAGATGCATATAGGCTGGGCGTGGTGGCTCATGCCTATAATTCCAGCACTTTGGGAGGCCAAGGTGAGAGGATCACTTGAACCCGGGAGTTTGAGGCTGCAGTGAGGTGATAATCATGTCACTACACTCTAGCCTGGGTGACAGTGCAGGATCTTATTTCTAAAATAATAGTGATAATAAAGGTGAAGGTGATAATGGGTGCCTTAGAGCCCAAAGGAGGGCCCTTGGCCCCTGCTGGGGGGTTCTGGAGACAGCTAGTATCTAGGCTTACTGAGGCCAAAAACTAACTTCTAGATCAACCCATATTACTAGGCAAGAGTCAAGTTTCTATTTCTTTGGAAACCCATAAACGACAAAGCTTCCAATTCTTCGGAGCTTTATAAAATGTGTGAAAATACATCAGTGACTATACCTAGAATCTTCTAAGGACCCAGAGTGGAAGGGTTGGGACAAAATATGGAACCTAAAAGCAAGGGCCACAGCTCATGGATCATGATGGGCACAGAGACAAGTAGCAGCCTCGGGGCTGGGACCCAGGAGGATCCCAGGATCCGGGGCTGCTTGGTGACTGTGAGGATGATGACGGGGTAATGATGATGGCAGCTTATATTTATCGAACACTTACTATGTGCTGGACTCTGTCCTAAGCACTTTGTTTACATTATCTCATTTACTCATCCCAGCAACCCTCCAAAATGAGGAATCTGGGGACAAAGAAGAAGTCACTAGACCAGTGGGGGAGCCAGGATTCAAACCAGGCAGGCTGACCCAGAACACAATCCTGCTAAGTTTCTGACGCTCGTTCAGGAGAATCCAGAGAGAAAACCCTATGCTGGGAAAGAGCAGAAGGTTTTTATCAGAGTCGATCGGGTCGAAATGCCTGTGGTTGCCTCCCTTTGGGAAAGCTCTTGCTGCCTCCTGCCTTCTGGAATGCCTTGTCCTTTCTGCTTCCATCTAAGTAGAAGTCTGCCTTCAAGAATAACTTCAAACCCGTCCTCCTCCATGACACAGCCTGAGAGACCTCACCCTTGTCTTAAGTTTTACTTTTTACACTTCTTGCTCATGAGGCGATAGGCTGGGCCGTCAGTCTGAGACTGAACTCAGTCTCAGGACTGGAGTCTGGGGAGTGATGAGTCGTTGGGGAGTGATAAAACCTTTCTGAGTGCCACCTTCCTCATCTGTAAAGGGCAATTATTATATCTATTTTGCAGGGTTGGGGTTATGAGGAATAAAGAGATAGAGTAAGTCCTCTGGTCAGTAAATGGTGGGCATTATTTTCAGTATTATTTCTTACATATATCATCATCTATTTGTTAGTGTAAGTTATCTTTGATTCAAGTTATTTCTTTTATTCTTTCTTTTCTCCTCCTCCTCCTCCTTCTTCTTCATTATTGTTAACAGACAGTCTTGCTATATTGCCCAGGCTGGTCTCAAGACATCCTCCTGTCTCGGCCTCCCAAAGTGCTGGGATTATAAGCGTGAGCCACCACACCCAGTCAACTCAGTTTATTTCTTATTTCTCCCACTTGACATGAGCTCCTGGAGAGCAGACACCATAACTACCCATGTGTGTGGAATAAATGAATTCTCCACTCCAGGATCCAGCCCAAACAGGCACTCAATCCATGCTTGCAGATTGCCAGACCACAGCACAGGACTGGACAGGAAAGGCTAACTCCAAAGCCTGACACGCTTCAGATTCCATGTGAGAACCAGTCAGTCTCCTTCAGGCCTGACTTCCATGTGAACTTGTGTGACTGGCTCAGACATCTGGGGACGAGGCCCTGGGGGCAGGGCTCACTCTCCTGAAACACACATCTGTGGCATGTCAAAGGCAGGGCACAGAGAAGGGAGACCTGCTGTGTCTCACCTCTTCTCTGCCCTACCCAAGGCGGGAATTAAATCTCAAGGACACTGAACCACTGCCCAGCTGCAGCCTGCCTGTGGTGTCCAGGAGCTTCTGGTTCCTTCTGCTGACCTGGGCTTGACGTGGTGCACCTTTGACCTCCAGGCTTCCCTATGCCTGAGTTCAGGAGTGTCCCCTGACTTGCTTCTCCTCAGGGTGCCATTCCCACCTCCACCTTGGTCCTGCTCTTCCCCCATGTACAAACTCTGACCTGGGTGACCACAAGGCATGGAGCAGAATTGGGGTGCAGTGGAAAAGCCACATCTAACCTTATGGAGCAGTGTTACAGACTCTGGGTCCAGGCCAATGAATGGGTTGAATGGTAGAATGAAACTGATTACCATCCGATTTTAGAAAGCAAGAGAGAACAGAATGGAACACATCGTGAGACTCTGCACGTTGCAGAGGTAGGCCTTGCTTATGAAACATCTGCTTCAGTTTTACATGCATGGCACGTCCTGTCACTTGGATGTCTTATTGGGGATCATGTGCAAGGGGGTTTGATGTCACCGTGCTAGAGGTGCCCAGCCAATACAGTAACCACTGGCCACATGTGGTTGGTAAGCACTTGAAGTGGAGTTAGTCCCAACTGAGATGTCTTCAGTGTCAAATGCATACTGGATTTCGAAGACTTAGCACAAAAAAAAAACCCTGCAGATACCTCATTAACAGTGTTCATATTGATTAATTGTTGAAGTCATTGTATTTTGGATATAATGGATTAAAGAAAATGTATTATTGAAATTCACTTAACCTGTTTTTTTTTTATTTTAATTTTAAAATAGAGATGAGGTTTCACTATGTTGCCCAGCTGGTCTTAAACTCCTGGGCTCAAGCAATTCTCCCACCTTGGTCTCCCAAAGTGCTGGGATTACAAGCGTGAGCCACTGCGCCTGGCTGTGTTCTTTTTTAATGTGATTACTAGAAAATGCAAAATTACATATGTGGCTCAGGTTACATTTCTGTCGGACAGCGCTGGTCTAGGGCTGGAACTTTTTCACCAAGTGTTCATTCAGTTGGCCCTACCGATTCAACTGGAACCCCTTCCTTTCTTCTTTGCCTCTTTTCCTCCCTCCCTTCTTCCCCT